TCTTGTTATGTTTTAACAAGGAGACTGGCAGCATTTCACCCTTGCCCTAGAGATTTGTGGAACTTTGAGCTTGAGAGAGATGATTTAGGGTATCTGGTGGAATAAATTTCTAAGCTGCAAAGCATTCAAAAAGTGACTTTGGTGCTGTTAAAAAGATTCTGTTTTAAAAGGGAAACAAGAGCATAAAAGTTGGGAAAATTTGTAGCCTGCTGATGCAGTAGAAAAGAAAAACCCATTTTTTTAAAGGAGAAGTTCAAGCTGGCTGCAGAAATTTGCATAAGTAGCAAGGAACCTAATGTTAATCCCCAAGGCCATGGGGAAAATGTCTCCAGATCATGTCAGAGACCTTCACGGCAGCCCCTCCCATCACAGGCCCAGAGGCCCAGGAGGAAAAGGTGGTTTTGTGGGCAGGGCCCAGGGTCTCAGTGCTGTGTGCAGCCTAGGGACTTGGTGCCCTGTGTCCCAGCTAGCTGCTCCAGCCATGACTGAAAGGCGCCAACATAGAGCTTGGGCTGTGGCTTCAGAGAGTAGAGGCCCCAAGCCTTGGCAGCTTCCATGTGGTGTTGAGCCTGCAGATGCACAGATGTCAAGAATTGAGATTTGGGAACCTCTGCCTAGATTTCAGAAGATATATGGAGATGCCTGGATGCCCAGGCAAAAGTTTGCTGCAGGGGCAGAGCCCTCATGGAGAACCTCTCCTAGGGTGATGTGGAAGGGAAATGTAGGACAGAGCCCCCACACAGAGTTCCTACTGGGGCACTGCTTAGTGGAGCTGTGAGGAGAGGGCCACAGTCCCAGAATGGTAGACCCCAGAATGGTAGGTCCACCATTGACTTGCATCTTGTGCCTGGAAAAGCCACAGACACTCAACATCAGTCTGAGAAAGCAGCCAGGAGGGAGGCTGGACCCTGCAAAGCCACAGGGGCAGAGCTGCCCAAGACCATGGGAACCTACCTCTTGCATCAGTGTGACCTGAATGTGAGACATGGAGTCAAAGGAGGTCATTTTGGGGCTTTAAAATTTGACTGCCCCACTGGATTTCAGACTTGTGTGGACCCTGTAACCCCTTTGTTTTGGCCAATTTCTCTCATTTGGAACAGCTGTATTTACCCAATACCTGTATCCCCCATTGAATCTAGGAGGTAACTAGCTTGCTTTTACAGGCTTATAAGTGAAAGGGACTTCCCTTGTCTCAGATGAGACTTTGGACTGTGGACTTTTGGGTTAATGCTGAAATGAGTTAAGACATTGGAGAACTGTTGGGAAGGCATGATTGGTTTTGAAATGTGAGGATATGAGATTTGGAGGAGCCTGGGGCAGAATGATATGGTTTGGCTGTGTCCCCACTCAAATTTCAACTTGAATTGTATCTCCCAGAATTCCCACATGTTGTGAGAGGGACCCATGGGGAGGTAATTGAATCATGGAGGCCGGTCTTTTCTGTGCTATTCTTGTGGTAATAAATAAGTCCCACAAGATCTGATGTGTTTATCAAGAGTTTCTGCTTTTGCTTCTCCCTCATTTTTCTCTTGAGGCCACCATGTAAGAAGTACCTTTTGCCTCCTGCCTGATTTTGAGGCGTCCCCAGCCATGTGGAACTGTAAGTCCAATTAAACCCTTTTTGTTCCCAGTCTCAGATATATCTTTATCAGCAGCATGAAAACAAACTAATTCAATCGTAGTTTTTAAAAACCATCTAAATTGAACTCTTGAACATGATTAGCTGTTTCATCCCTAGTAGAGTGACAGGAGAAGGAAACATCCACAGACAGGAATAATAAGAAACCAGCTAAACTTTTAAACCATTTTTAAAGGATGCATGTGAGCTGGCATAACCTACCTACTCTTTCCTATGGACCTCTACTGAGAGCATGGAGGTAATACACCTAATACACTGAAGGCCAGGGCAAGAGAGCTGGAAGAAATCCCTCTTAAGCACTCCAGGCCTTCACTGAGTGCGAGGTGCTGGTCCCCCAAATGCAGAGGGCAAGGCAGAGAGGGATCTCCTGGGGCACAGAAAACTGACAAAAGAAACACTTGGATTGTTGTGTAAGAGGAGTGAGCTTTGTAAATGCTACTTTAGCTGGCCCGCTATGGAACAGACTGCCTATGAATGACAGTCAGGTAGTCAGGTAGTGGATGAACACTGATCTGAGAGCCTGTAAAAGAAACTCTTTGGAATGATAATGTCATCTAGACCTTTGATACTCAAAGTGTGGTTCCTGGACAGATGCATTGGCTTTGCCTGGCAACTTGTTGGAAATGTAGAACCTCAGGCCTCACCCCAGACCTATTGAATTATTTATATTAATTAAAATTAAATAATTTTTATCTCAACAAAATCCCTGGGTAATTTGTATGTACATTAAATTTTGAGACACATGATCTTTTAAGGTTCATTCTAATCCTTAAAATTCTGTTTTAATAATGTGTACAATAAAGTGCTGCATGGCAAACTACACAGAAACTAAAGGCATGCTCCAAAAAGAAAAAGTTCGATGTGGGTAGAGGAATATAAGCTTCATCAGGGAACCAGGAGTTGGGCTGGTTCTTAAAACCTGGAGGAAGAAGATGATTACATTAAGAGATAAATAGAATGAAGCAGAACTAGTGGCATGGACCAGCTCGCCAGCAACAGAAGCGTTTGTAGTCGGCTTGGCAGTGGACAGGGAGGTTGGCTAGAACTATTACCTTGGGTCCTACTAAAATATCCCTGAATCCAACTTTTCAGAAAGAAATAGGTAACATATTTTGCACCAAGAAGCTTCACCCGAACACTGAACAGAATGGTCTCAGTGCACTAATGGAGGCTCAGGTAAAGGGTTGTGGTAGCACAAGGAAGAGACATTCTGACTTGGAGACTTGGAGAAGGCTTCACAAATGAACGGGCACTTGAACTGAGCTTTGAAGGTGCAAGAGTATTTCAGGTTGAGAAGACAACCTGAATGGTGTTGGGTGAACAGTCATTCTACCTGGCTGTAGTGTACTGTAGTGTAGTGTAGTGTAGTGTAGTGTAGTGTACTGTAGTGTACTGTAGTGTAGTGTAGTGTAGGAAACATCAGAGGAGTGGAGTGGGATGTGAGCCTGGAGAGAGCTGACAGCCATGGATCACTGAAAGCCTTGAATGTCTGCTGGGGAGGTTGACTTTATTTTTTAGGCATTGGAAAGCCACCAGTGGTTTTAGTTAAGGAGCAATGAAATTAAGCCTGTGCTTTGCAAAGATTAATCTAGCAGCAACAGATTGGAAGCAACACCACCATTCCTGGTATCAGTCCAGATGAAATATATTACAGATCTTTACTGGAGCGATAACAGTAATATTAGAAGGAGAAATAAAAAAGAAAAATATTGCACAGGAAGAATGGGGAGGTCCCAGTGATGAAGCTGATCTTGGTTAGTTGAGGCAGGGGTGGCATTAATCATGTAAAACACAGGAGGAGGAGCTGGGTTAGGAGTAATGGTAGAGTTCAGTTTAGGTAACTGCAAATACACACTATTTCCTGACTAGCTCCCAAGACTTTTTCTTCCCTCTCTTCTTAGAACTTTATTAGACGAGGTGATGTTATTTCTTAGATGAGGATATCTTACTTACCATTGACTAATACATGTTCTTTGATGAACTTTGCTATTCAACATACATGCAGAGGGGTTATAAAAACAAAAAGTCAACTCTAGTGCTGATGAGGGTGATCATCATCACTGATCATGGTGTCAGTTGATTATAGTGTCAATTTATAACTTAATTTATCTAAAATACAGCAATGCAAAAGATATAGCAATCTTCACTTCAAATGAAGAGTCCTGAATGCCACTTTTCTAAAGAGAAGGCTCATGGAGGCACCTCTCTCCTCACTATTGAAAAATCCATTATATCTGTGATAAAACTGATTGTATTAGATTTGTATGCAAATAAAAGTAGGGTAATTAGCTATACATTGTCCTAAACATATAAAATAAGAAAAATAAATAGATGTGTGGTTTCCTAGGAAATCTACCAGTTTACAATGCGAGGCTAATGTAGGAGCTGCCAGAGCATCCTGAGTAAGGCTATGGAAAGAAGTTGCAGACTGATGACGTCTTAGAAGTAATGATATTTTTTAAAGATAGTATTTCTTTGCTGAGATAAGCAGATTATATTTTACAGTAAACACATTTTATATTTCAGTTAATGAGGCACTGTATATTAAATAATTGCATTTAATGCTTCACTTTTTTCCTGTGTTAAAATTAATCACTCATGGCCTTGGCCATATGACTTTGCCATTCCTCCCATTGTTTTTCTAACTTGTTTATATTTTATTGAACTTGGTCATATGACTTACAATAGACTGCGATGGAAGTGACAGGAGACCCCATCCTGACCAAGGCCTTAAGAGGCATCCTAGTTTCCTCTCACTTTCACGAGCCTCTGTGGGGTTCATTATGAGAACATATCCCTAGAAACCACTAGACAAGGAGAACAAGAGGTATATGAATAGCTCTGATCCACCCTTACCACCTGAAGTAGAGCCGCCCAGCTGACTTGCAGACTCACAAACATGAAAATCAATGTTTATTGCAGCAATTAATGAAACTTTGAGCTGTTATAAAAAGAACCTAATACAAATGGAAAGAAACATGGTTAGTAGGCAAAGCTAGTTATGAGCAACTGTCATGTTCTAACAGGACAGCAACTACTGGAAGTTTTATCAGAGAGGGGCCAGACCAGTTTGGGTGAAACTCAGTTCACCTTTTAAACTGACAATAAATGGGAATATGTTTTAATGGTAATTTTATCATTATGTGGCAAACTTTGTTCTGTGAGCTATTAAAATATTCATCTTGGCCGGGTGCAGTGGCTTACACCTGTAATCTCAACACTTTGGGAGGCCAAGGCAGGAGGATTGCTTGAGGCCAGGAGTTTGAGACCAGCCTGGACAACATAGGGAAACCCTGTCTCTACAGAAAAAAAAATAGGTAGGCATGGTGGTGCACACCTGTAGTCCTAGCTGCTTAGGAGGCTGAGGCAGGAGAATCGCTTGAGCCTGTGAGGTCGAGGCTGCAGTGATCATGCCACTGCATCCCACCCTGGGCAACAGAGCAAGACTAGCTCCAAAAGAAAAATCATCTTTATTTTAATATTCAAATTTACATTTTGAGTATGGAACATAAGCATCAAGAATTCTCTTTAAATCTAGATGAAACTTTCCCAAGGTCTCTCGTCATGCATCCTGGACTGAATAACAGGCATCCCTGCCTTCACATCTTCATGGGAAGGCAATAAAACCTGAAGAATACAACCTAGGATCTCAAAAGCCTTTTTAGGAATAATGTCATGTATAATAAACAAGAGCAAAAATGTTACAGCATCTATAGCTCTCTAAACTACCTCCCAAGGGAAGGACGATGAGGGTTTAGTTCCTGTGTCTTTTAAACTTTAACTTTACGTGTATTTTTTTGGACATGTGCTGTCCAGTATGGTAGCTACAAGCAATATGTGAGCTGAGCACTTGAAATACGGCTAGTCCTAATTAAGATGTGCTGTAAATGTAATATACACAATATATTTTGAAAACAGTATGAGAAAAATATTAACAATTTTTATATTGATTCCTTGATAGTATTTTGGATTTAGTTGCTTTCTTAAACTCTCCTGTGTTACCCAGTTTGAGTGTACCATCTGTCTCTTGCAGGGACCTTGACTGATACAACATTAAAATGAAGTGTACTTTTAAAAACTTTTATTTATATATTTCTTATTAAGAATTGGATGAATTGAAACTTTTATGTTTTCTTTCTCTTTCTGTTACACAGAAAGCCTGATTAAGTAGCCTTATTCTTTTGTCTACAGAAGTAACCACTTCCGGCCGGGCACGGTGGCTCACTCCTGTAATCCCAGCACTTTGGGAGCCCAAGGTGGGTGGATCACCTGAGATTGGGAGTTTGAGACCAGCCTGGCCAACATGGTGAAACCCTGTCTCTACTAAAAATACAAAAATTAGC